ATCCTCCTGCCTCAGCCTCCCGAGCTGCTGGGATTATAGGTGTGTGCCACTGCACCTGGCTAGAATTTCTTATTTTGTTGTTGATGTGTTGGTGAATTCCCCCCGTGAAACAGTATTTTTAATCATTTAATGATTTTTAATAGTTAACCCAAGGGCAGATAATGGAAAAATTAAAACGTGTCCCTTTAATTAAAAAAAAATTCTCAAATATTCTAACGTCTATCTTCATTTTTTTGGATTTATATAAATGTATTATAATGGGCTGGAGGTATAGCTCAGTTGGTAGAGTGCTTGCTTTGCAAACACAAGGCCCAGGGTCCAATCTCCAGTAACAACACACACACACACAGAGTATTGTAAAATGTATTGCAAATAATACAAATGAAAGATAGGATGTTTAATTCGGAATAGTGTTATGCCTCATGCACTCTTCAAATCTTATTTATCCTGAAGATATTTACCCAGTGTCTCCAGTTATCTCTAGTTGAACCACATAGTGAAAATGCTTCTAGGAAACTCTCACTCAGATCTCATTTACTTCTAATTCAGACATCGCTCACAGGCATTGGGGTTTCCTAGCCTGACGATTAGAAGCAACAAATTAAAAACTAAGATAAAGAGCCACTATACAGAAAGGCTGACAGTTTCAAGAAGTGACAGCTTTTAGTGGAAAGTTGTTATATTAAAAATGGTAAAGGGAAAGCAAACCTATAAAAGTAGGCAAAATTTTAAGAATTATTAGAATTTCTTGTGTTTAGTTCATCATACCCCATGAATATTTGGATCATCCGTTTTATAAATCACAGCATGGTAGTTGATTATGTAGTAAACCTGAGAATTAGTAGTAGTTTTCTTTTCTTTTTTTTTTTTTTTTTTGTGTGTGTGTGTGTGTGTGTGTGTGTGTGTGTTTTCATTGAATTCAGGGATTTTTTTTTTAATATCAATGAGCCACATCTCTAGCCCTTTTTATTTTTTTATACTACATTAAGGACGCCTCTGGCTCCACATGGTATTAAGAACTTTAATAATTCATCATTTATTGCAGCTGCATCCTTATAGATTAACATGAGTGGGAGCTAAGTTTACAACACTGAGACACATATCCATAAATTGTCAGATTAGTGATGTTAGAAAATAAAGTTTATTGACTTAATTCTTACATACATTTTTTGGATATTTCAAGGAGAAATAGTGAAAGTTATTTGTTTCAGGATTCTTACTTTAAAAACAATAGCTGGACATAGTGGTGTATGCCTGTAATTCCAGTGATTTGGGAGACTGAGGCAGGATTGCAAGTTCCAGGCCAGCCTCAGCAATTTGGTGAGGTTCTAAACAACTTAGTGAGACCCTGTCTCAAAATAGAAATAGAAAGGACTGTGAATGTGGCTCAGTGATAAAGTGCCCCTGGGTTTAATCCCTAGTACCAAAACCAAACCAAAACAAAACCTAACAAAAAACAATAAAAGACAAACAGTCATTAGCATATGCAAACTAAATGGAATTAATGCTTACACTTAGAGAAGAATGCCAGGAATCTCCAATCAAAAAGAAATATACAAATTCTGATCTATGAGTTTTATATCTGATATTTATAGTCTGATATTTGAAGTCTTCAAATTTCAGTTTCTTCACCCTTTTTGAAGTGCTTATTTTAAAAGATAGAAGCTGAGCATGGTGGCCCAAGCCTGTGCCTCTTGCCAAGATGGGAGGATCCCTTGAACCCTTAAACTCATGTCAAGACCAACCTAGGCAAAATGTGGAAACCCAGTCTCAAAAAAGAGGTGATGGGCTGGGTACAATGGCACACACCTCTAATCCCAGCAACTTGGGAAACTGAGGCAGGAGTTTCCTTCCACCTCAGGTTTGAGGCCAGCCTCAGCAATTTAGTGAGACCCTATCTCAAAATAAAAAATAAAAAGGACTGACTGGGGACTTAGCTCTGTGGTAAAGTACCCCTGGTATTTAAAAAAAGGAAATAGGAAAGACATTTATGGGAATAAGATTATGTCTGCTATGCATTACTGAAGTTAAGAAATAATCTTACAGACTTCTTTCATCTTAGTATACTTTTTGTGATGTTTTGGTGTATTGACAATATGATATATATAAATTTATTTTAGTGCCTTAAAGTACTAGTTATGTGGATTAAAAAAACAATGCTTTTATACTCCTGTTAGCACATGTCATATGATTAAATTCCAGAGTGAAATTTAGATATAAAAGTTAATCATTTCCAGTGAAGGGAAATAATGAAATTGATGTTGAATTTGTCTAGTTTTGGGATGATCCTATCTGTGAGAACTATAAATGTTGTTTTCAGAAAGAGAAAAAGACTGTAATATTGACAGTTTTTGTGGCATTCACAGGGCATAGCATATGGTCCAATAAATATTTATTGTAAGAATACCTGGGGCTGGGGATGTAGCTCAGTGGTAGAGTGCTTGCCTGGCATGCATGAGGCCCTGGATTTGATCCTAATAAGCACCAGCAAAAGAAAAAGAATACTTGATGATTAAATAAAGTCAAATAATTCTAGTTAGATATCTGCTATTTTGATAACTTAAGCAACTATACTGGTATATACCGATTGATACAATTATGTTGGAAGTTCACTTTTAGTGTGTTTTTGTTTTAGTTTTAGTTTTAGTTTTTGGTACTGGTGATGAAACTCGGGGCCTTGTACTTGCTAGGTGAGCCCTGTATCTCCGGCCCTAATATTGTTAAATCTCATTCAAGGAAGATTTGTTTCAGAAGAGTGCTGACATATGAGACTATTTCAGAGCATAAAACAACATTATACTGTAGAGAGGCTTGAAAGTATTTTAGGTATCCTCTGGGTTTGGTTGAAAAGCTCATCATTTCTTCAAAGACACAGATTAAACTACTCTGTCCCAAATAGATAACTGGACAGTTTTCACTAATAGTACAAAGTTATTTATATCATATAAATTGGGCTTAATTTTTTATTGCTTTATGTTTTCTTTAAAAATGATTGCCTGGTAAATGATTCTGTCACTGATGAGTGACATTCATGGGAGAATTCTTCGGGGAAAGTATGATCAAAAGTTGTGCTGCCAGGAAGATTGAGATTTTTTAAGGCACTATGGAAATGCACTGTTGTGATTAAAATGAAAGCCCAAATTCTTAAGGGGAAAAGCTGCTAAATACAAGCAGTCATGATATGTAGAATCTAGTAAACACCATGCTAATTAATAACATCCAGATGTTATTATCTCTTCATTTGTTGTACCAGCCAATTTGGGGCAGAATATGGAATATTTACAACAGTTGAATTTCTGCTACAGTTGAAATGCCACAAAACAACAAAACTTTTCACTTGTATGGAATTGTTTGTTGTTTAGTAGCAAGTGTGTGTTGGATAAAGTATCCAAATATAAGATTTATTTATTTTTTGGTGCTGGGAGTTGAACCCAGAGCCTTGAATGTGCTAGTAAACACTTGCTACATCACTGAGCTATACCTGCAATCCTGAATATGACACTTTTATGTGGCATGAATTCATATGTGTGTGTGTATCTTGTGTTTCCTATCACACCACTGTATTCATTAGTATCTTTGAGTTGCTACTTCATGACAGATATCTTGGAGTAAAAGAACTGTTTAGAACTGTTGTGAAAAAGTGATGGTTTAACATAGCCTTAGTTATGTCATGGTGTAAATTAAGCTCTTGAATGAAAGTACCTAGATTTTCCAGATGCTCAGGCATGAATTTAGCTCAGAATAAATTGTTCTGCTGTGTTAGAGACATCGTTCAAACCTGCATGCATCTGCCAACTGCATGTGGTTGTCACAGTGAGACAAATTGATCTGTCATTTTCTCTAGTGTGTCCCTGTTGCTTGCCATATTGTAACCTATAGGACATCTCTTGGGCAGCTTGTGTGCCCTGATTCCACTTCAACAGTCTTGTAAAGATGCCAGGGAACATCAAGTTAAATTTTTAAAAGCCAATTTAAATATTTAAACGTACAACTAACTTCAGTAAAATTTCTCCCATATCTAACAAACTGCTTGCTGGAGGTGAGATGGACTTTTGAATTTATGGTTCCCTATGTATTTGTTGTGACCTTATATTGACAAGTTATTGATCTATCTGTGCCTCCTTTCTGTATTAGGAAAGTGAGGATTGTCAAAGTAATTGTTTTGTAAAGGAGCTTTTGTATGAATTTAGATAATTTTATATGTGTATATGTGTGCATATACATATATATTTAAATAAAGTGCATAGAAGACTGCCTGACACTTAATAAACATTAGCTGCCACTGTCATCATCCTACCATAATTTGAGTAATAATTGGGTAATTATTCTGAAGCTAGAGAGCTCTTTGTAGGAAGATTGCATCTCTCTGAAGGATGTGGTTAACTCCAATTTTAATATAGGAGCTCACCATATTGCCTTGTGAAATCTACCTTTCAATTTATTTACAGCTAATATTATATAACCACTGCAAGGGGATGAAGAAACTCACTAAGTAAAAGAAGCAAGGGACCAATAATGCGTAAATTCTGCCATTTGTAAAAATTTCTTGGTACATGTATAAAATATCTGAAAGGCTGAACAAGAAACAGTGTGCAGTATTTTCATTTGTTATTGGGAAGGGGAATTGGTTGGATGGAAATAAGGGTGGGAGACTTTATTGTATTCTCTTTTATACTCCTTGGTTACTGAACCATGTAAATGTATTTCCTAATTACTAAAAGAAGAAAACAAAATTAAAAAGTAATATAGCTGTTTTGAAATTTAGATGAATTCTTATGGATAAACATTTCTTTTTGCCTGTATTCAAATTTAAGAGGACTTTTAAATTTTTTGGTTACATTTTTTTTTTTTTTTCTTTCTGTTTGTGGTGCTGGGGATCAAACCTAGTATCTCCTGTATGCTAGGCAGGCTCTCTACCACTGAGTTATATTCCCAGTGCCCATTGGTTTTTTTAAGTCTACTTTCCAAAAAACTAAGAGTGATATTTTGTCGTCTTTCAGGGATTTGAGCCATAATCGGTTATCTGACTGGAACATCAGCTTGGAATCGCAAACTTTACAGGAAGTGTAAGTTTTTTTTTTTTTTAATTTAATGTTAAATTCTTTGAGGGGATATAATAAAATTTGAATTTGGGATATCTAATCCAGTGATACTTCCAAAAAATTGAATGAAAAAAAAAATTTTAATTAAAAGAAATTGTTAGAAAACCTAAACTGTTGTATTTGACTTTGTTATTATCACACTCTCTGGGCATTGAGTTGGTGATTTCGAGTTGCAAATTGTATAGAAATATTATTCTACTTCCCTGGGGTCCAAAGCAAGATTTTTCTCCTCTTCAGTATAAATTTTATCTTTTTTCTTTTTGGCTAAGAGTTTAGCCAGTGAAACTGTGAAGTTTTTTTTTTTTCTTTTTTGTGTTTATTTTTTAGTTGTAGTTGGACACAATACCTTTATTTTACTTATTTATTTTTATATGGTGCTAAGGATTGACCCTAGGGCCCTGCGTATGCTATGTGAGTGGTGTACCGCTAAGCCACAACCCCAGCCCCTGTTATGTGAAGTTTTATAATATCTCAATATATCATGTGAGATGGAAGCAGCAGGTAGAGGATTTGGGGTATTATTTGAGAATATAGTGGTTGATATCATTTGATTCTCCTTTTTTTTTTTTTTTGTGGTGCTGGGGATTGAACCAAGGGCTTTGTGCATGCTAGGTTAGTGCTCTACCACTGAGCTATACCCTAGCCCTTAATTTTCTTCTTAACTGAAGTTTTTCCTTTGATGAAATGTATCATTTTTGGGATTTTTTAAAAAAATATGAGTATTGGTTATTGCATTTTGATATTCCCAGGGGTCAACTATTGAGGTATGTGGGCCTGTTCACCCCTGTGCTAAATACTATGTTATATACTAAGCCAAATACCCTCAGACACCCTTAGTTTTGTTTCTTTTTTGTTTTTTGGTACCAGGGATTAAACCCAGGGGTGCTTAACTGAGTCACATCCCCAGCCCTTTTTATGTTTTATTTTGAGACAAGGTCTCACTAAGTTGCTTAGGACCTTGCTAAATTGATGAGGCTGGTTTTGAACTCATGACCCTCCTGCCTCAGCCTTGAGTCACTGGGATTATAGGTGTGCACCTCCACACGTGGCCTTAGCTTTGTTTTTTGTCTTTAAATTCTTCATACTCTAGTGTCCCATGCCAGAGCAAACTGTGACCCTGAATCATTGCCTGGCCTCTGTGTCTATAGGCTGCTGGCACTGAAGCAGATTGCATTGTGGGGGAAAATGTTTCCTCATAGACAGGGCTAACTTCTTTATGCTCTGGTTTTTTTTTTTTTTCCCCCCTTGGTTCTAGGGTTTGAACTAGGGTCAATCAACCACTGAGCCACATCCCGGCCCTATTTTGTATTATATTATATTTAGAGCTAGGGTCTCACTGAGTTGTTTAGCGCCTTGCCGTTGCTGAGGCTGGCTTTGAACTCATGGTCCTCCTGTCTCAGCCTCCCGAGCTGCTGGGATTACAAGCTTGTGCCACTTTGCTCGGCCATGAATTGTTTTTCCTGCATTGTTTTCTCCCTTGTCCCAAATATGCTGTTTCTAATTTGTTGTGATATTGAGTAAAGATTTGACAAGTTTGTTAGCTGAAAATATGCATTGAGGAAAGCCAGGAATCACTTTATTGGGAAGTGCATGAGCTTTATGCATGGACTTTATAACTTCATTTGGTTTCTTGTTTACTTCTGATTTCTTTTCTATATTCTATATTGTTGAGGTTGTTCAATGATTGAAAACCAGGTTAATGAAATCTGATTGTATTAAATTTGTTCCTAAAACATTTGAGACAATCAGTTGAAAGAGCTGCTGGGAATGATGTTACATGTCATGTCGTGTAAAATTAGTCATAGGTTCCATCATTGGTTGGACAAATTAATTTCATCTGTGGTCCTAAGCAATACTCCTTAACTTGAATAGCCTTAAATTTTGACTGTCATAAATGCAAAGAACTTTGCTGGTACTGAAAATGTTTAATGTGCAAAAAATTTTTCCCAGCCTTTCTTACATTGGTACCAATACTAAATCAACACTATGAAAAAAGTCCCTGCCCCTGCCATGTTGGGTATTGAATCCAGGGTCTAGCACATACTGTGCAAGTGGTCTACTTTTGAGCTACCCTAGCCCTGAAAAAAGCATTTCTTATTAAAATCTTTAATTTCTCAACAAATAGATTTTATCTTAGTCTAACTCATTATAAGTTATAGGCTTTTTCAAATTTGGTGTCTTTACTAATTTGTATTAGTAAAGAATTCAAGAGATAGCATTTCCCTTGTTAAACTTTGAAATCTCTCTTTCCCCTTGCTTAGGAAAATGAATTACAATGAGCTAACAGAAATCCCATATTTTGGAGAACCAACATCTAATATCACTCTACTTTCATTGTAAGTAATTAAAATTTTAAATCTTTTACTTAAATTATGAATAGTACATAGCTTTTTGGGGGTGGATCATTGGCAGTAACTTCAATGTAATTTTTGTTTTGTAGAGTTCATAATTTAATCCCAGAAATAAATGCAGAGGCTCTCCAGTTTTACCCTGCTCTTGAGAGTTTAGACCTCAGCTCCAATATAATATCAGAAATCAAGGCATCTTCATTTCCTCGAATGCAACTTAAATACCTGTAAGTAAAATAGAGCTTAAATCAGATTTGTAAATCATTTAAGAAAAATTTTTATTTTTTAGTTGTAGTTGGACACAATACCTTTTTTAAATTTATTTATTTTTATGTGGTGCTGAGGATTGAACCCAGGGCCTTGTACGTGAGTGCTCTACTGCTGAGCCACAACCCCAGTCCCTTAGATTGCATTTTAACTGTTTATTGGTATCTATCTTCCTTAAATGTCTGTTATTCATTGTAATTTTCTATTTTAATTTTGTGACAGGGTCTCACTAAGGGGCTGAGGCTATCCTTTGAACTTGTAATCTTCCTGCCTCAGACTCTGGAGTCACTAGGATTACAGGGACGTGCTACTGGCTTATTATTTTGGTATATGTGAAACAAAGCTCACGTTGGGTGTTTGGGGTTGTTGGTGTTGTCACCCCCCCACCCCCACCCCAGACGAAGAGACACTGTGGTCAGAAAATATTGGTAGGCATCCAGGGTAATTTTTGAGATATATACTTCTTGAATTTTTTTTTTAAGTCAATAGTTTTGTAAAAGGTAAATAGAAAGTAGTTTGTTTAACAGCTTACCCTATATAATGATGATTTTATCTATATCATTGATTTCATTTACAAAGCACATTCACACACACTACTTCATGCCAACCTAAATGAAGTAGGAGTGATGTGTATGTGTGTGTTTGTGTGTATGTATGTATTGCTGGTGTTGTAACCCAGGGTCTTGCACATGCTAGGCAGGTGCTCTGCCACTGAACTACACCCCAACCCTGTCATAATAATTTTATAGATAAAGAATAAAGCATTTAATTGATTTGTAAAGTTTGTATATAATTAAATGATACAGCTGGACTCAATCGTAGTCTTTGGTCAGCTTTCCAGTGGTAGAATTTTTATTTAAGTTAATTTTTTTCTTTTGCTGTTGTCTTGCTCATTTTAGGAATTTGAGTAATAATAGGATAACTACTTTGGAGGCTGGTTGCTTTGATAATTTATCCAGTTCCTTATTAGTGGTAAAGTTGAACCGGAACCGACTTAGTATGATTCCACCTAAGATCTTCAAGCTACCTCACCTTCAATTCCTGTGAGTAACTAAGTGGATCGATTGTTAGAAGATAATTTTTCCTTAGTGTTTTTTCTTTTTTGACTATTGTTAGAGCAATTCAGCAAACCAATTTTCTAACTGTAAAACTGTTTTTTTATTTAAGGGAACTTAAAAGAAACAGGATTAAAATTGTGGAAGGTCTTACATTCCAAGGGCTTGACTCCTTAAGATCTTTGAAAATGCAGCGGAATGGAATTAGCAAACTTAAGGATGGAGCATTTTTTGGTTTGAATAATATGGAAGAATTGTAAGTACTGAGAATTAGTATAGAGGATTTTAAGGAAAGGAGTCTTTCTGGGACTTTTTTGTACCAAATGGTTAAGATAGTTGTTTTGGGCTGGGGATGTGACTCAATGGTCAAGGGCCCTTGAGTTCAATCCTCAGTACCAATAAATAAATAAATAGATAGATAGATAAATAAATAAATAAAGTTGCTTTAATTATACAGTAATTAGTAATTTCTCAAATTAGTAATTTCTCAGTTCTTTGATGAAATAAGTATACTTAAAGCTCTGTATGTCTGTGTGTTGGGGATTGAACCCAGGGTCTCACACATGCTAAATACACACTCAATCACTGAGCTGCACCCTCAGTTTTCACACAAAGCTTTTTATTGGGAGGTGGGCAGGGATTGAACTTGGGGGCACTCAACCACTTAGCCACATCCCCAGCCCTATTTTGTATTTTATTTAGAGATACGGTCTTACTGAGTTGCTTAGCCGAGGCTGGCTTTGAACTCGCAAATCTCCTGCCTCAGCCTCCTGAGTGCACCGCTGTGCCCAGCCACACAAAGCTTTTAAGTTTTGTAGGCTTACTGGCATTTTTGTCATCATTCTTACAAACTTCTTATGTAAAAAGTTTGTATTCCCAAATTCTTTGAGGAAAATTATCGGAATTCATCTGTGAAAGCACGATCAAGGCTTGCCCTAGGAGAAAATGCCCGTTTATGAGGCAGCTCTGCAAATTTTAGAGCAGGGGGTGGTCTGACTGTTGAAACAGTTTAACAGTTTAATGGTTTTGGCAGCTGGCATGGGGTGCTTTCTGATTGGTGGGTAAGGATCATGTGAGTCAGCAGGACTCACCATTGGACGGCTCTTCTTGGGGGATGGGGAGGTTAGTCTTTGGAGCCCGGGGACTCCCAACAATCTGGAATACAAGTATTATACCACTTAGCTTGTTGGTTTTGTAGATTTGATATTTAGACAATCTTAATACGTTCTAGCACTGAATCTTAAGATAATATTTATTGAATAGGATTTATTGTATCACTTGGGTTGAGCAAAGGTATATGTTTTTCTGAGAAAGACTTATTGAAGATTTAAAACTATACTTCTGTTGACATGCTTTGTTTTGAAATATTCTCTTTTCTCTAATTCTGCAGAGAACTAGAACACAATAATCTTACACGAGTGAACAAGGGGTGGTTGTATGGCTTACGAATGTTACAGCAGCTGTATGTGAGCCAGAACGCTATTGAAAGAATCAGCCCTGATGCATGGGAGTTCTGCCAAAGACTATCTGAACTGTAAGTGTTGGATGGTATTTTTTTTGGAGGCTGTGAGACTAGAATAGTTGGAATAAATCATTTCCATGGCCAGTAATGAGATCTAACAAACATTCTTTGTTGAAAACTCTAAATTTACCATGTAAATATAGTAAGAATTTGTAAGTTGAACCAAAATACAATGAATTCCTTACCTTCTACGTTTCCTGTTTTTAGTGATTTGTCTTATAATCAGCTGACTCGCCTGGATGAATCTGCCTTTGTGGGTCTGAGTTTACTGGAGAGATTGAATTTAGGAGATAACAGAGTCACTCACATTGATGATGGTGTGTTTAGGTTTCTTTCCAATCTTCAGACACTGTAAGTTTATCCATTCTTGTTTAAAATGAAATAAAACAAGTTAATTCAGTCCACTAATCAGGGGATCTATTTATGTATGTTATATTTTTATATTTTGTCCTTCCCTCAGCCCATGATAGGAATAATAATCTTATTTGTCTTGGTATCCATAGATAAAACTTTTCCTATCATGAGAAGTTCATTTTATATTTTAATTCTGAGTTAACACATAAATAGTAAAGCCTGTCTTATAGAACCAGTTGCTGTGTTATAAAACATAGTTGCTGGGGTCAAGAATGCAGTCATTTTCTTCTTTCTCTGACTTTGGCTGTATATCAGTTCTCATTCTGAGAAATGCAGGATGTATAGTGGGAGCAGTTCTTTCTGTTCTGTTACTGTTTGTTGCATGACTTTCGGCAGAAGAAACTAACAATTATTATCTGTAAGTACCAGGAACTTTCAGATACTAGGTTGTTACTGTTCTTTTCCATATTAGGTGGCTGAGGACTGAGAGATGAAAATGATTTGTTTAAAGTCATATAATTTATAAACGTTTGGATCAGGATTAGAACCCAGGTCTATTTGACATAAAAGCTCATGTATTTTATTATGAAATGAACAAAATCACTTAGCTTTTCCTGGGTATGTTTTTGTTTCTTTCTTCATATATGAAAGAAGAATTTAGAATTAAGTGGTTGCTAAAGGCAGTTTCAACCTGAAAATCCTGTGGTTCTGTAAGTTAAATGTTTTGCCTTCATGGAATATAATTTTATTGAATGAAGAGGTATTTTAATGAAATATAGCATTCTCAAGACATACAGTAGAATAAGAGAAAACAGAGTAATTAGTAGAATTTATAGATTAAGAAAAAAATTTTTTTAGGGGATATGGGGATTGAATTCAGGGCCTCTCACATGCTAGGCAAACACTCTACCACTGAGCTACATCCCCAGGTCTTTGTCTTGCATTTTGAGACAGAGGTCTCAATAAGTTGCCCAGCTGGCTTCCCACTTAACGATCCTCCTCCCTCAGCCTCACAAGTAGCTGGGATTACAGGTGTGGGCCTCCACACTCTACAGAGTTTGTAGATTGTTAATAGTTTTTGAATAGGGGACTTTATGGTCATTAGTTTCACCATTGAGGATTTCAGAAAAGAAGTAGACTCACATCTGTGAGACCTAGCCATCAATGAGAAGGAAACAGGATAATTTTGTGAAGATGTTTGTATACATGCACAGGTGTGTATGTGTTTGTGTGTGTGTGTGTGTGTGTGTGTGTATATATATATATATATATATGTATGTATGTATGTATCAAAAGCGATTAAAGATAAATATATTTTTTTTCAGAGAGAGAGAGACAGAAAATTTTTTAATATTTACTTTTTTTTTTAGTTTTCGGCGGACATAACATCTTCATTTGTATGTGGTGCTGAGGATCGAACCCAGCACCACATGCATGCCAGGCAAGCACGCTACCGCTTGAGCAACATCCCCAGCCCAATATATATATACATATTTTAACTTTGTTCAGAATTGTCCTTGAAAAGTAAAAAATTAATTTAAAAAATTAATTTCCTTTTATACTCCTTTTTTCTGTATTATCAGAGGTGAAACTAGATTAGTGCAAATTCAGAAATTTATATCAGATGCAGTTGCAGCTTTTTGATAATTCAAAGGATGGCAAACAGATTGTTTCAGTCTACTGCTGATGATTACTTTTAGATTTAAAGTTTAGGGGCTAGGTGCAGTGTTGCATGCCTGTAATCCTTGTTTCTCAGGAGGCTGAGGCAGGAGGATCGTGAGTTCAAAGCCAGCCTTAGCAATTTAGCAAGGGCCTAAGCAACTCAGCAAGACCCTGGTTCTAAATAAAGTATAAAAAAGGGCTAGGGCTGTGGCTCAATGGTTAAGTGCCCCTGGGTACCCCCAAATTAAAGTTTAAGAAAGTAATTGAGGAAGTACGTGGTTGTCTAATGCCTCACAGAGATAGTTATGGCAGAATGAAGGATCAAATCTGAGAAACTCTGGCTTTTAGCCCAATGCTTTTGAAAGAGTAGGTATAGGACTGGGATTGTGGCTCAGCGGTAGAGCACCTGCCTAGCATGGGCGGGACCCGGGTTCTATCCTCAGCACCACATAAAAATAAAGGCATTGTGTTGTGTCCATCTACACCAAAAAATAAATATTAAAAAAAAAGAGTAGGTATATTTGTTACTCAATTTTGTGCATGATTTCTCTTAATTGTGGAGAGGGTAAAGTCCTACCTGAGGAGTAGAGCCACTGGTGCTTTCAGTGTTTACTCCTTAGTAAAATAAAATGAACTCTGTTAGCATTTCATTTTAAGTAAAGATGGGTAACCAAGAAAAGGGATCTACTACCTCCTTATTGTTATTCATACAGCTTTATGTCTTACAAAGCAGAAAGCTTTGTGCTTTATTTTTATTATAAAATGGCCTAAGGAAGCAAAAGTGATTAAATATTTTAAACTGATATTTCTTTTATCAGCACATGATGTGGTATAATTGCATCTCCCAGCTGAGAATGGAGCAGTAGATTTTAAAAGATCCATAGTTGTTGTTTTTTTTCTAAAAAAAAAAATAGTGATTCTTCTACACACGGGTATATCATTCTTGGTTCCCAGAGGGTGTGCTTAATTGCTCTTGAGCTGTAAAGCTCTATATTGATATTATTCTTTGTCAGCCATTTTAAGTTTAAGGGCCCAGGGAAAGCCTTGGGTCACCCAGAAATCCCATTATTCTGAATCATATCCCTTGTATCTTGAAACTCTCCTTCTTTGGCAGGAACCTATCCATAATTTTTTCTTTTTTAGTTGTCAATGGACCTTTATTTTATTTATTCATATGCGGTGCTGAGAGTCGAACCCAGGGCCTCACATGTGCTAGGCAAGTGCTCTGCCACTGAGCCACAGTCTCAGCCCTATAATTTTAAATATGTTAACACAATTAGATACTGTTAGCTAGGAAGATTAGTGCTATTAGCAGGATGCCCAGCTTAATTCTTAGCTTATGAGAATCAGGTATTGCATGTTTATACAGATACACCTTTAAAGTATAATTGGGTCTTCATTATAAATAACTGTTAAAATAAGGATCAGAATTAGCACATGTACCTTAACATTGTCTTGCTAGGATCCCGCTCAATGGCATGATGACCGTGTGGACTAACATAACTTGTATTTTCCTGAAAATTTTCTAGAGACTTAAGAAACAATGAAATTTCATGGGCCATAGAAGATGCTAGTGAAGCCTTTGCTGGACTCACAAGTCTTACTAAATTGTATGTATTTATATAAAAGTGTCTTTTCAAGAACCAGTTGTAAATGTGATTGGATTTTGATATGGTCAGAAATTCTGAACCTTCTGGCCCCTCTGCTAATGAAAGGAGCTTTGTTATTTATCAAGTAGTTTTTTTTTAGGCTGCCAAAATTTTTATTCAGATATTAAAGCATTTTGAGTAATAACTTATCCCACATCTCATTAAAAAGGGATATGGAGCTACATTTTTTTTTTTATTAGTTGCTCAAGATAATACAATGATCTTGACATATCATACATTTGATTCAAATAGGGTATGAATTCTCATTTTTCCACGTGTACAGATTGCAGGATCACATTGGTCAAGTAGTTTGTTTTTAATGGGGCATTTTTTGTTAGCAAAGCATTCCTATGAGCACTTAGAGAAGTTACTTATAGAACTTGAATTTCTATTCAAGTAAAAGAGATCACTGAGAAACTATAGTTGAACAGGAAGTGTGTTTAATCAAGTGAAATTTTTATAAGTTAATTCATCTAGAAGAAGGAAAGAAGATTGTCTCATGTTGATTTTAGATCTTCCATGAGAAGAGTTTCTCCAAATGTTTACACTGGCTTAATTTCTTTGGCCTGATGATCTTTTGTTAAAGAGTGAGAAATGGGAAATTTAACCTATTTAATCATAAGAAAACTGCCAGTTTCTTAGTGGCCAGGATGGTTGTTCAGAAGTATTTCATTGAACTCCAGCATCTTAATAATAGAAGCTTGGATTGATTAATAAGTTCATAAGTTCTTAAAAATGCTTGTTCTAATCAAATTCTACACTCTGAATATGTGCAGTTTTTTGTTTATCAATTATACTTCAATAAAGCTGTTAAAATATTTAAAAAATGCATATTAAGTTTATTTTCACCTTTTAAAGGTAAATGTCTAATGAATATAATTTTATTTCAGAATCTTACAAGGAAATCAGATTAAGTCAATTACAAAGAAAGCATTCGTTGGTCTTGAATCCCTTGAGCATTTGTAAGTTTTGCATAATTTACTCACTATATACATAATCTTCACTGTTAGTAGAGACTGTCACAAGCATTTAAAGTATTTATATAAGCCTAGTGTGGTGGTATACACCTGTAATACCTGTGATTTAGGAGGTGGAAGCAGAGAGGCTCACAAGTTCCAGGCCATCAGTAGTGAAACTCTGTTTCAAATAAAAATGAAGGGCTGGGGGCCATAGTTCGGTGGTAAAGCATCTCTGGATTTAACCCTCAGTACAAAAAGAAAAACAACAACAATAACAACAACAAAAAGTCAAGTGTTTATGTAACTTAATTGTAGAAATGTGACTGGCAATGTTTCATTTCTCTTCATTTCAGAGATTTGAACAACAATGCTATAATGTCTATCCAAGAAAATGCTTTTTCTCAGACTCACTTGAAAGAACTGTAAGTAACTTAAGTGTTTTCTTTTATAAATTTTAAAAAATCACCAGATTACTATCCATGCTTGTGCTTTTTTTTTTTTTTTTTAATGCTTGTGCTTTGAAGTGTGATGAAGGTGACCCAAATGTTTCCAAAAGTGTGCCATTCAGGCAGGAAAAAGAAAGTGTAATACTCGATTATTTTAGTGCCTACCTATAATTTAAAAATAATCAGTGCAAAGTTCAGAATGTGTGACACTAAGACCTTCTCTTTTTGCTTGTGCTCATAATTAGGAAATCTTAGCACTGCTCCCTGTGCTTTATGTATGTGTCCTACTGTTTTGTTTTTTTTTTCCTTCAGTTTTTGACTACCAGAAGCATGTTTCCCAATTCTTATCCTTTGGGTGTGTTAAAATTAAGGAATCAATGTGATTTTGTCCTTTAATTTGTGAGTTGAACTAAGCTTTTGTTGTAATTGTCAGAAAGGATGTCTTTACTCTGTTCAAATTACTAAAATGTTCAAATACTATTAATAGTTGCAATAGAAAAATTTATTTTATATTCTTTTTCATTCATGATTTCTTTTATTGGTTTAGAGATTTCCTGGGGGTGGGAATGGCTAGTTGGGCATTAGTATTAATTATAATCTCTGATGATTTGAATATGCAGCCAGATGTCAGAACCACTGGACTCTAGCCATTTATTTTGCCTTGTCTGGAAGCTACACATAGGATTGTCTGGGTACCAGAACTGATTCATAATAAGATAATGATAGAAATTCAAAGTAAGCTTTTATGAAACTTAGAATAATTTGACATTACTGAGACACTTTTGTTGTAGTTTATGTAATTATTGGTTTATAGTGGACTGGGAATTTTGAAAAGCGGTTCTGGACACAATTTGAGATAAAATGGAAACATGTGAGTTTTTGTACTTTATGGGTTCAAATTCTTGCCGTATTCTTTACAGCCTATGACAGTGGGCATATATTGTCCAGCCTGAGACTCAGTGTATCTTCTCAAAATGGAAATAGCACTTCCCTCAGGGTTATATGAAAATAAAATGAGATAATTTGTTTAGTAAAATTTTCTTTATCTACTGTGTAAGGTACTGTTCTGGATGCTGAAAGCATAATAATAAACAAAGCGAAGTATTCTTATATAAATTTTACTAAGAAAGATAAATAATAAATCAGTAGATGGAGAATATCCCATCAGGTAATAAATTTTTCTTAAGAAAAATAAAACCAGGTTAGAGGTGTGGGGATTGACAGGGATTACTATTTTAGATAAAGTAGTGAGAGGAGTCTCTTGTGAAAATTCAGCATTTGAACATGGATCTTAATGAAATGAAGCAGCAAAACATGTAAATATTGAATGAAGGGCTTTCTGGGCAGGGAGGAATAAATGAAATGGGGTCAAAGAGAAAAGCAGGAGCCAGATCATGTGTGTCCTAATAGGCTATGAGGAATGAGGATTTTTCTTTTTTCTAAATGCCTGAGGAAACTTTGAAGGTTTTTGAGAAAATGCTGAGCATAAAGTCTGGCACATAAGAAAAGTTGAATAGGTAATATTAACCATAAAAATTTAAATATTATGGAAATCATTTTCTGTTAGATTAAAAAAAAGTTTTTGGGGGTAGTGGAATATCTTGATATTTTAAATTATTTTTCCTAGCCTTAGTTAACTTGTTAGGACACAGCTTACTGCAAATAACTTTTATCTCTGTTTTGAATGCCAGTAAGAAAAGTTTGACAATTGTTATAAGAACCCAATTTAAGAAATAATTTCGATAGTAGCTGAAAGCAAATATTGTAGTTTCAATCTTCAGAGTTTCATTTAGTAATTTAGAGTTGTCATAAAGATTTTGCTTGACCAAACTTTAGTCAGGTTCTTCAATCTCATAGGATTGTGTACTTTTATGTAAAATCAGTTTTACCAGTTGCTAAACCAGTTTAGCAGTAACCTGTCCAGTTAACGTGGTTAACCTAGGGTACCCTTGATAGCTGATCAGGTTTCTCAGGTTTTTTGTTCTAAATCATTTCCCAGATGATGTCTGATTGCCCTGGCCTGTCTTCAGCAAGAATCCTGTTAGGTTGGTTTAGCCAAAAATCCCCTTCCCCCTTCTTCTCCTTCTACTTCTTCTAGTTCCCCACCCTTTCTCTATACTTCTTAATAATTTTCCATTTACTGACCCCATCTACTTCTTGGCTATAAAATCCCCGATTGCCCATGCTTATTTACAGTTGAACCTAGTTATCTCTCCCTCTTTGCAAAATCCTGCTGCATTATTCTCTATACCTATCGAAATGGTCTTGAATATCAAGTCTGCTTTACCATGATGCTTTAACAAGTATCATTGAGTAACTTTTTCTTTAACAGTTTTGGTGCTGTGGCTCGGATAGGATCAGATTCATCATTGGACCCCCGGACCTCTCACCCAGGACCCCAAGTGTACTCCTTGAAGCCTTTGTTTTCATTCCTGACTGATTGATCGGGGATCCAATGGTGAGTCAGACTGGTCAACCATTGCTCCGGACAAATGTCCGTTGAAGCTGGTAAGGAGAGATTTTGATTCTTAAGAGTCTGATACTTTAGGAAGCTGGGATGAATGCCAGACTTCTTTTGAATGGTATCTGCTAGACTGGAAGGTCTTCTTTCTGGCTGTCTTTCCCTTGGGTATTATTCCCTTGCTGCCTGGGCTGGAAATCCTTCCTGGCACTCTGAGAGGTCTGACTGTTCCCCCTATTGGATTCAGTCTGTCCTATGTGAACCTTTCTGTCACCTGACTTACTTCTTGAATCCTCTGCCGATTATGTGCTCTGCTAATTCTGTCTACCTCCTTCTTGTTGGAACTTCATTGGCCTCTTTGGGAAGCTTAAGAGGCTCCTCTAAACTTCTCACTTCTCATTGCTGTTGTTCTCCTTTCTCTTTAACCACCTTTAATTTTCTCTCCATTTCCCTAGAGTCATTTGATAGGCTCCCCTGCAAATCCCTACTTCCTATATCCTTCAGTCCACTTCTGTTAGACCTTTTCTTTCCCACGGTCCCATGGTAGCCTCTCAATCACTTGAACTCTGCCTTCCTGTCCTCCATTGGGGGCTCTCAAGGGATTAGAGACCATAGAAATAGCCTCTTGAGGCTGAAAACAAAAATGGCTGAATGAAAATAGAATAAATATTTTATTTATACTCAGATGGGCTTTAGAGATACTCTGATAGTCCCTAGATATCTCTTTAGCCGCCATAAGATCATGTATCAAGCAAAAGAAAATCTTAAATGTCTCCTTCACAAATATAACAATTCCCCTCATCTACAAGGGATATGTCCCAAGACCCACAGTGGATGCTTGAAATGAGGATTGTACCAAACCTATCTATACTGTACTTTTTCTTATATGTCTTGCAACATTGTCACATAGTACCAAAGTTTGTCTGTCCTTCCATGTTTATGACCTGGTGCCTCCTTTGCATCGTTATTCTTGTGCTCTGAGACATTATCAAGTAATATAGGGATTACTTGAACACAAGTACCATGATAACACAGTTGATATGATAACTTAAGATGACTACTAAGTGGATAGCATATACAGTGTGGATACACTACACAAAGGGATGATTCATGTCCTGGTTGGAACAATGGGAAATTTTATCATGCTATACACAATGGCACAGAATTTAAAATTCATGAATTGTTTCTTTCTGGATTTTTCTATGTAATATTTTTGACTATGGGTAACAAACTGGAAAGTAAAACCATAGATAAGAAGGTGGACTACTGTATTGGTAAACAGGTGATTTTTATCCATTTTTGTCAGAAACGTAACTTAGTGGGTTTTCTTTTTTTGGTGCTGGGAATTGAACCTAGGGCCTTCTGCATGCTGAACATGAGCTCTGCCACTGAGCTTTACTCCTGGCCTGTAGTTTTGTTTTTTAATTTTTTTTTTTTTTTTTTTTTTACAATGCCAGAGATCAAACGCAGGGCCTCCTCATCTAAGCAAGGAGCTATGTCCACAGCCCTCTACAATATTTTTAATGCTTGCCTTTATCAGCAGAAAAGATAATGAAGATGATAGACTAGCTTTATTTAATGTTTCATGAAATTTTTACGAACAGTTGAAGCATAATTGTTAAGTAAATTAAGTAGATATAAGTGGAATAAAAGTTTATAAATGAACTTTTAACAATAATTATGTTTTTTTAAAAATTTTTATTTATTTTTTTTAGTCATACATGACAGTAGTATGCATTTTGACATATAATACGTACATGGAATGTACATACATCAATCAAATTGTCTATTCTATTCTACTGCCCTTCCTATCCTCCCTACTCCTCCCCTCCTCTCCCATCCTTTCTCTCTATCCAATCTAATGTGACACACTTTTTTTTAAAATTTTTCTCATTATATCATATATGTATTCTGTATAACAGTGAGGTTCTCCTTCCATCTTCTGTGTAACTCCCCTTCTCCCTCTTTTTCCCTCCCACCTCTCTTCCCTATTTAGTGGTAGTCTTCTTCTCATGCTCTTCCTCCCTATCCCATTTTGAGTCACCCCCCTTATATCAGAGAAGACATTCAGCATTTGTTTTCAGGGATTGGCTAACTTCACTTAGCATAATCTGCTCTAATGCCATCCATTTCCCTGCAAATGCCATGATTTTATTATTTTTTAGTGCTGAGTGATATTCCATTGTGTATAAATGCCACATTTTTTTAATCCATTCATCTATTGAAGGACATCTAGGTTGGTTCCACATTCTAGCTATTGTGAATTGTGCTGCTATAAACATTGATGTGGCTGTGTCCCAGTAGTATGCTCTTCTTAGGTCTTTTGGGTACTACTTGAAAATAGTTTGAAAAACCTGTTTGGTATCTTAAAACATTAAAGCTGTACCATTGCCGGGCGTGGTGGCACTCAGCATTTTGGGAGGCTGAGACAGGAGGCTCACGAGTTCAAAGCCAGCCTCATCATTGGCGAGGCTGTAAGCAACTCAGTGACCCTGTCTCTAAATTAAAGATACAA